AGACTACTTAAAATAGATAATAACTAAAGTTGTATATATAGCTTGTTGTATACTCTTCATATAATTACAAATAGTAAGAATTATCAATATATAATCCTAGATGCAAAAACTAATAAAATCCTATTAGCAATATAAGCTATTTTAAATATAAAATAAAAAATAAAAAAAATAAAACTTAAATAGCTAAATGAAACTGAATTTAAGTCAAAAGAGTAGTTATATAGTTAGATTAGTTTGGTTTGTATTTTTGCTATAATATTTTTTATGTTTTCTTTTAATAAATAAAGAGTAAGATTGTTTAAGAAAAAAAAAAAAAAGATATTAAAATAAAACCAATAATTTAAGTTATATAATTTTGGTTAGCTAATTTAATCAGCTAGCTAAAATATAACTAAGTAACTTATATTAAATTTTTTTTTATATTAGCTATACTAATTTTTAATTTTGGCTAATAATTCTTAAACTAATTTACTAATTTCTAATATCAGACCAAACTAATTCTTAATATCAGATCAACTAATTCTTTAATACCGAGTCTAACTAATTCTTAATACTAGCCTAACTAATTCTTAATACCGGCCTAACTGATTCTTAATGCCAGCCAAACTAACTCTTAATACCTGGTCTAATTAATTCTTAATACTGGCCAAACTAACTCTTAATGCCTAGCCTAATTAATTAATTCTTAATGCCGGTCAAACAAATTCTTAATGCTGGCCTGCTTTAGCCGCATTAGCCAGCCGACTATATTTTATCGGCGGCTGCTTTAGCCGGGTACACAAAAATTACTAGGTATAAGTATATCAATAATACGTTAAACCGTACTCAATACCCAAGACTGTTACCGTACCCAATGGGGTAATACCTAAGCGGAGTAGATTACACAAAATCAATAAATTAATTTTTGTGTTAGGGTTAATTTTTTATTTTTTTTGCTTCGTCAGGTTAGAGGTTGGAACCGGTTTTAATAATTCGGGTTTATCACATGAATTTTGTGATATTTTAGAATTTATTAAAATTTAATTGGATAAATTTCTAAAATATCACAAAATTCATGTGATAAACCCGAATTATTAAAACCGGTTCCAACCCTACGTCAGGTCATAAAAATTCGTGATTTGATTGGTTAATTCACGTGATTCTACTCCGCTTTAGAAACATTATTACTTGATTACAGAATAGCTTTTTTTTTATTTAAGACACCATCGATTAATTTTGCTAGTTTTTGAAAAATTGAGTACAAACACCATTGGTTTGTTTTAGTGAAAGTGGAATTAACAAAACTTGCTACATCTGGAAAGTTTGCAGACCGATTAGTAACGATTATAATCCTAAAGACTTCAAACTCCCCTACCGACTTTGATCGATTATTGCGCTTGTCATGTGAGAATTGGATTTCAAAGAAGCTTAAAAGATTTTTTAAATATATATACTTTAATATAATATTTTTAATTAATATATACGCAGTTATATTATTTTCTATAGATTGGATAATCTCCGCCATCATCCTCACAAAAATCACATGTTCACGTCTTTTTGCAAAGTGCTATAAGAAAATAATCCAATAACGATAAAATCGAATACTAGAATAGAAACGATTATAATTTAAAAAATTTATAGCGAATTAAACACCACCACCAAATATGTTCGAGTAATAAAAAAATAGGTTTTTTATCCACTTATTAATTTTAATCGATATTTAAATAATCGTTCATAATCGCTTATCGTTATAAGTTTTTATCCGACTTATTTCTTTTAATCGATTTTAATTAATTTTGATTTTTTACTCGATTATACTAGATTAGATTTCATCGCTTAAATACAATCGATCACAATCAATTATTTGTTTGATACTAATCCGTTTATTAAATTTCATGATGCTATGCTTTTAAAAATATATTATTACTGGCACGCGAAACTAACCGGACATACATTATAACTTTAATAGGATCAATATGTTTTTAATATAGTGCCAAAAATTCATTATAAAATCGGAAATATTGTAAGGATTAAACAGTTTAATCGCATAAAATTGTTTCATAATTCCAGGCAGAATTAGACTGAATTAAACCAAAGAATTTAGGCTGTTACAATCCTTAGTAAAAGTTTCACTTTTCACATATTCGATATAACTATTAGATCTAACATATCACTTTTATTCAATATACTCTGCTGAGTCGCTAAATCACTTTTAGGTTCTAGTTTTAATAATTTATAGCATTAATTTAACAATTTTAGTTGGGTTTTTAGCTGATAAATATGACATAAATTCGGGTTTTAGTTATTATTCCAAACGAAATAGAAATCCCTATTTCCAAACCAGCTATGAATGTCATAATTCAAAAAAAAAAAAAAAGGATTTGATCGCAACCCTAATCTCAACTATTAGGCATTGAGGTGTAAAAATGTGGAGGATTTGGTCGCTATCGAATATTAATTTTTGCCAAAATAAAACAAAAAGAATTAGTAAATATTCCGAAGAACAAATTAATTATAATAAATCTCTAATAAAACCAACATACATTCAACCATTTTTCTACAAAAGGTTTTGCGAAAGCAGTGATAAGTAGCCCACTTGTTATAGCTATGTAAAAATATACGATTGCTTCATCTTTATTTGAATCACGCTCTGAAATAAAATTTAAAAAAAAAAAATCCGGATTAAAATTAGTACAATTTGAACAATAATTCACATATGAAACGTCTTTAAATGATAGAGCGCTTCTCAGATAAATATTGGTCATTAATAATCTTTCTGCGATTACTCAATCCTATTCCATAATATTAAGGAAACATACCAAAACATGTAGCAGTAACTTGTATTTCGCACCCTTCTTTTCCTTTCCCTTTTTCCCCTTCAAAATTTCCATTAGCATCTGAACATTTTTCTTTCATATAGCTTTTGCAAAAAGTTTTATTACATTCTGCGCAAATTTGTTCTGGTTTTAACACTGCTATTGTTGAATTCTCTGCACAGACACACTTACAAAAGGAAATCACATTTGCTGCGTTAATTACTGGTATTAGTGATAATGTGAAAAGAATCATATATAATACAAAAAAGAAGGTGGCAAGGCGTGATATTAATGACATTGTTAAATTAAATAAACTATGATATCTCGTATGTCAATAAAATATTTGAAAAATTCGATCGTACATCTTTCCGTAATTTCCGGCAAAATTATGGATTATAATTTTCCGTAATGCTAGTACTTTACCTATCACGTGAGAAAATTACATAAAATGTTATACAAGTAATTCTCGATATAAGAAACGTATAAAAAATCTTAATATAAAAAAAAAGAATTTTGTCTACGTAAACTCAGTAACTCTTATCGTTATATCAAGAATCACTTGTACATTGATCACTGAACAAGGGCTAATTAAATATAAAATTTGAAATAATATTCATAACACCTTATAATGGTAAGGGTATATTATATATTTAATAGTATGGTTATATTACATGGTGTTACGAATATAACTCTAAAATTTTTACGTAAATTACCGTGTTACTACGTAGGGTGCGCAATATTATATTTATTTCATAACATAAAATTTTCAAACAGACCCGGCAACCCGGCTTTTTTTTTTCAAAATTTATATATAAAATCGTATAAAAAATTTTTTAATTATTTTTAAAAAACTCACCCGGTTATAAAAAAAAGTTTAAAAGTTCGAAAATTTCGACCCGATGTAAACCAAGAAATTTTTTGTATGTCCTTATTTTAAAATGCAGATTTTTTGATGTTACACGATACCAATCCTCAAATTTAACAATTCAATTGGTCAGAAGTTCTAAGTATCCGAATAATTAATGTCGCGAGAGTCTTCTTTTGAAAATATAAACCCCACTAAAATCTACTTGTACTCTTTTTTAAATAACTCTAAAAAAAATACACCCCAGAAAATTTTAAAATTTCATAATAAAATAGGTTCAAATTTCACCATAATCCGCGACAATTAATCTGAATCAGTCAAGGAATTGCAAAACTAGAAGTTTAAGTTCACTGAACTGTTATTTTTCGCTCAAATTTTTATACATCATAATAGGACCCCCGGATAATTCTAAAAAAGATATGAGTACTAAACTGGACATAAATTTTGGCATTTTTTTGGCCCAAACTTTTCTAAATCTGGTCAAATAAAATTGGATTTTTATTTTGGCCAGAATTTTAAAAAGTTTGGGCAAAAAAGTGGACAAAATTTACTATTAACTCAACTTGTAGCTCTATTAGTATTATCCGGGTCCTATTATAATGATAGAAATAACATTATTTTACGCGAATTCATGATATTGATTTACAAATCTATAATTATAAATTTATAATATTGCGCACCCTAATAAGTTACAATCAAAGTCAGCATATCGATATCAAATATGTGGGATTCATCCCATTTCACCGACAGCTATTTCCCCAATTCTTAACTCTAAGGGCCAGTCTTAATTGTCTGTTGAAACTAGGGATGGGCAAATTTTTTAATGTATTCTTATTTAAAATTTTTGCTGAATATGTAATAATGAGAAATTATATCATCATTTATTACCGCTAACGCTAATTAAATTTTTAAATTTTCAAGAACAGATTTAATTTTTCTATTTAAACTTTCAAGAACAGATTTAATTTTTTTTATTTAGTTATCGATTTCTCTTAAAAATATGTAATAAATATGTAATAATTTACAAGTTATGTAACGATTAAAAATACATACCTACATGAAAAATTACATTGCCCATCTCTAGTCGAAACAACGAGATCTATCGCGCGGAAATATCAGTTCATATTACAATATAATACTACTAAATATTAATATTATCATATAATAAAATCTTTTACATACAATATATAAAAAACATTTGATAAAAATATTTCATACAATAAACCATATTTCTTCGATACCAATTTTTTCAAAAGTTTTATCCCTTTTCTAATGGCTTCACACTCTCTTCCGTACAAAATAGAATAAATATAACATATTTATTGTAGAAGTATCTCTGAAAGATTAATACAAGGTTAAATAATTAATTTATTCTATTATTTATAATGTAAAAAACAGGAAACGTACGTACGTATATAGTAACTTGTTACATTAGGGTAGAGCTTGGATACGTTAATTTTAATATGAAACGGATCCAAGCTAGAGATGTACTGTACCTCGCGCAAGATAACAAAATTCTAATACCCGCAATTTACATGCACCTTGCGCAAGATGATGTCAACCTTGCGTGAAGTAAAATTATTCGATTAAGATAATAATCAATGAGCTATTAATTTAATAGTTTTTAATTAATTCATTAGATAATATTAAATAACACATAAAATCGCGCAATGTAATTTTGCGTGAGGTTGTGAATATATGCTAGTGAAACGAGGGAGTTATACGGCGAGTCAGTCGCTCTGCTATGGAAAACTCTATACAACCCACGGATGGCTTATCGAAAGAGGGCGTTTAGATTTGGACGGTGGTTAGGGCTCGTGGGTAAGTGATTGCTGAAGGTTTTAACTTGTAAGCTTGAATACCACAGTTCGTCGGGTATTCGGATATATGAAACCACAGTTACCACAGTCCGTTGGGTAACTGGAACCAAATAAA